TGAGGGGGAAAAGGGTGAGGGGGGAAAGGATGAGGGGGAAAAGGGTGAGGGGGGAAAGGATGAGGGGGAAAAGGGTGAGGAAGCCCCCATTACACACAGAATCCTCAAAGATGAAAGTAAAAAGTGCCGGAGAGTTCAGATCCACAATGTCGGAATGCTGGGATTTTGTCAGGCAGAGGTGGTCACACAGTCACACTGCCCATGCCACCCAAGTGTTCATGTCTCTGCACTTTTCGTCTGGAGACAACTCAGCTGTGGATCTGGGCAATTCCCATCCGTCATCAGCTCCCTGCCTCTTGTGCTGTGCAGCTATGGTTGCGATGGTTGAAGCTTGGTTGGTCGTGCTGAAATTATGTGGTAAATAGGGCACTCAGCAGGGTACCAAGTGCCCTGGGAATGAGATCACAGTATTTTCCCAACTCTAGTCTCTGTCAGTCACCTCCTTTGCATGATACCTCCCCCCAGTAGTGTCTCATGTAGCCCAGGCTGGTCTTGAACTTTCTATGTATCAGAAGAAGGCCTTGCACAGCAGTTCCTGCCTCTGCCTCCCAAGTGCTGGGACTGCAGGTGTGTGGCATGACCACCTTGTCTGTGGCTTCTAGGTAGGCACTGAATGTGGGACTATGTTCCTGATGTGTTCGTTCCTATCCACAGGCATCATGACACCCTTGAAGACCCAGCACTGCTTGGTGGGTCAGCCTTACACAGTGCCCCTTATCCAGCCGGACCTGCGACGAGAGGAGGCAATCCAGCAAGTGGCAGACGCCCTGCAGTACCTACAGAGCATCTCCGGAGACATCTTCAGCAGGTGAGACTGCTACCCAGCTCACCCAATAGAGAACCTTACCTGTTACGATAAAGCTTGAGGGTGACCTTGTGTGGGGGACCATGGCAGATTCCATGTCAGGCGAGGGTGACAGAGGTGACGCCAGGCAGACAGAGCTTAGTGAGAAGCTTTATTAGAAAGAGAGGGAGAGGGAAGGGAAGAGAACAGAGGTGAGAGACAGAGAGAGGACAGAAGAGGAGACAGGAAAAGTCCCGACTGCCCCAGGGGAACAGCGGGAAGAGGGCTGGAAAAGAGCAAAAAGAGGGCATAACAGGGCGGGGTCTTTCTTTTAAAGGGACCTTTGCACCTGCAATTAAACTGTACAACCATGGAACCCTGGGCTGACCAGGGCACTGCCTGAGTGCATTCTGCCAGGTGACAGGGGCAGGCCAGCACAATGTCTGAGTCCTTACATTCCCTCCTTTATTTATTATTAAAAAGGTGAGAGTTAGGCGTGGCAGGGATACAGACAGAAGCAGGGGCGTCTCATCTCTTATCATACTAAGGACATCATATTGTGCGCAACTGTGTGTGCTGCGCTGTAGGCTGCTGACCACGTGAGGTTTGTTTTCACCCACATACCCTCAACCCAGGATTAATACACTGCATTATGGCAAGGTTACCATAAGTAAGTTAGGGGAGGGGAGGTTTTCTGCTCTGTTGTGATATCCTGGGAGAACAGAGGGACAGAGGATTGAGGGGAAATGGTCCACCAGTCCCGAGGTGGGAGCATGGTCAGTGATGCTCTGCAAGGGTGTCTCAAGATTACCGCGTGTGCTCAGAGATGACCTATAGTCCGTGATGGTAAGATTTCTTTATTCAGGAAAACACCAGAGCAAAACACAGGTCAGAGCAAGCTCACAGGAACCAAGCTAGCGCGGCCAGAGAGAAGGGGCTAGGGTCTCCATGTGCAGCCCTTAAGAACCTTCCCTTAAGTCACCCCTGCTTTCCTTCACCACACCCTTATGGGCGAGTCCCCGGTCCACCTGGCACCTGTCCAGGTTGACATTGGGCGGGGCTAGGGTGTCTCCCTACAATTCCCCTTTTAGTCTAAAAGAGGATTAAAACTTAATAGTGTAAAACGTCTAAACTTAGCAATCATAAAGGTGAAATACAAGAAGATACAATAATCTGCTATTGCATATCCTATGACTATTCCAGCTAAGTCTTAAAGTCATGTGGAAAGGGTGTCTAACTTGAACACCTCCTTCCAATCCCAACTCTAAACAATAAGAAGGTCATTCTTAACTAGGCTTACACTACGCTAATAAACAATAATGGGGAACAGGGGTGTAGCATCTTCTAGGTTACTTCCTGCTGAAATGGGACTATGGTAGCCATGTGGGGTCCTGTGGAAAAAAAATGCTAGTACAGGGAAAGTCTCTAATGAGTTATGTCTAGTCCATGTTAGATGAGATTCGCTTGATTGAAGATCTATGTTGAAATCCTCAACTTGATTGAAGTCATTACTTGAGGTTCTGGTTGGAGTGTCAGTCGAAATGGAATGAGTTGAATCCAGTGCAGTCGGAGAGGTGTAGTCCAATTCTTTTTCCAGAGCATGCAGGGATTGCTGTCAGGCTGGTTCTCGTTGGCTGTGTGGGACTCAAACATAAGTGTCATCAGAGAAATGTTCGCTTGCACATGTATGTGTACTGGGAAAGGCAATCCTTGAAAAACAACAATTATGAGAGGGTGTAGGCCTTGAAAGAAAGAGCCAAGAAAAGACAAAGATAGTCCTCTTTTTCTTCATTTAGTCTGTATTACAGTAATTGGCTTCTTGATATAACACAGAAACTTTAAAATGTTGTTAAATAACATGCTTGGATTTTAGAGTAGGAAAGCCAAATCCAACTCTAAATCCAGCATCGATTTAATTGAATAGGGACTAGGAAATGAAGAGAAATAGAGTTATTTGAGAGACAGCTGTAAATTTTACCATATGGCATGTTCCTTTTGTTCGATGGTTATAGCTACGTTCTTTCCTTAAGTATCTACACATGTAGTGTCCTTTGACTTCTGGAGGAGGGTTCCTGTGAGGATGAAAACAAACCACTTCCCATCCTTTGGGAGGCTTTTATTTAGTTCATGAGATATACCTCAGTAAATTCTTGTTAGTCGTCCTTGTTGAGAGGGTTGTCTTTTTCAACTCGAATCTTGATCAATTTTGATGGTATCCAAAGATTTTCTTCT